AGTCTTTCTGTAATCTTATCACTTTATCAGGGACATGACTAGAATCTCTGAACCAATTGGGGGTAGACTTTCATACAAGCCCTCCTATATATGATATTAATGCACCAGACTTATACATTCCCCTCATGGCCTTTGGCACCTACCTTGTTCCTGCTGGTTTCTCACTAGGACTCTATGGGAAGTAAGTTCTTTTGATCCTTGTGGTGATTACTAATTTGCTAGTTTTCTCCAGACGTTCTGAATTGGCTTTTTGTGAGAGGAATGGTTTACTGGTTTTTAGGAGTCATGCTGGTTTTGATCCTTTTTTTTTCTCTGTGTGGAGTGGAAAATATGTAAAATGTGTAGAAACTTGGAGTGAGTTATTAGAGAAACTCCATTTTAGGGCTCCTTTCGCTTTCTCCATTTAAAAAAAAAAACGCCAACTCTTGAGTCTTTCTTGCAGAAAGCTTCTTTAACTTGTTATGATCGACATGAATTACGTGAACAGAAGCAGCAGGTATGCATGACAATCATATACTCTAAGTTTTGTTATTCATAAAAACATACATTCGCTTTTAATTTTATTGAAAAACAACAATACATTCATGATGCTAAACACACCAACTTTCATTGAACAGGAATTTTAAAAAAGAAAACCCATGAGCTTATAAGTTCTGGTCCGGCCAAAAATCTTCGTGAACCACTCAATCTTGTATGAAGCCACAATGTATCCGATCGTGATTCCAAATACAACTCCAGGTGCAAATCCTATCCCTGCTGCCATCCAACTCAACCATCCTTCTTCCTCATCATCATCTTGTAATGACTCCGGCTGTTCAGATTGTTGTGATGTTGGCTCAGTCCGACTTCCACAAACGTCCTTAAGAGAAGAAGCAAGAAGTCCTGAATTTCCCTCGTAGGATGAGCATTTCTGTCTCTGAAATTGCGTGCCTTGTGGTATGGAGCCTACAAGCTCATTATGTGAAACATTAATCCACGCAAGCGAATGAAGGTTTCCAAGCTCTGGAGGAATCACACCAGAGAGCTTGTTTTGGGATAAGTCCAGTGATTCCAACACCGCAAGGTTGCCCAAAGATGATGGGATGTGGCCTGTAAAAGCATTGCTGGAGAAATTTAGGATACGGAGTTCCTTTAGTAGACCAATAGATTCAGGAATCTGTCCATGGAGTCGATTTCCTGAAAAATCGATGGCCGTGTAGATTTTGAGGATACGTTCCATCCCCATTGATACTCCTTTAGCCATCAACACAATTGAGACATAGTATCCGTAGTCATCAGAATCTCCAATGTAGTCTGGTTCTTTAGAGTAGTAGTCTGTTTTGGAGGATATACCAGTCCAGTTCAGGAAGTAATCAGACGGTAAGGTGCCGAGGAAGTCATTATGTGAGACATCTATGATTTTCAACTGAGGAAATCCAGACCAAACACCGTCAGAGCGATGTAACTTGCCATGAAATTTATTGGAGCGGAGGACAAGAACATGTAGCTTATGCAAAGAACTCAAGTGGAATGGAAAGGTGTCATTGATTTTGTTGCTTTCCAAGTTTAGAACTTCCAGAGCAGAGCAACTAATGAGAGATGCAGGAAGTTTTCCTTCCAATAGGTTGTGACTGAGGTCAAGTGACCGTAACTCTGTCGCGTTGATAAATACGTCGTCAGGAAGAGTTCCGCTGAGGCTATTGTTACGAAGATTTAGATCAGTGAGATAAGTCATTTGAGTCCCTAAACACCAAGGAATTGAGCCGCAGAAGTTGTTGTTTGACAGATCTATGACGTATGGACAGGGTGATCCACATATTGAAGAAGGTAACTCTCCGTTGAAGTTATTCTTAGAGGCAAACAAATATATGATAGAGCTTGATGGGATGAACAGTGGGCCTTGGAAAGCATTTGAACTTAGATCCAAGACTGATATCTTATTCTGATGGAAACCTTTCAAGGATCTGTCAAAACCATTGAAAGAGTTGCTAGAAAGATTAACATAGTACAACTTTGGTAGCCTCCACAACCAGTCTGGTACTTGACCTTTAATTTTGTTGTTGGAAAGGTCTAGAGCAAATAGATTTGGATTGTTTCTAATGAACTCGGGGAACTCAGTGATGTTGCAGCCTGACAAGAACAGAGTTTCCAAATTTGATAAAAAATCAGAAGTGAGGTTTGTTGTTGAAAGAGGGATTCCCGAGAGAGTTAATCGTAATAGCTGTTTGAGAGGCGAAAAGAGATTTAAGTTAACATGCCTGACGTTGACCGAGTAGTTGACTTCATTGGAATAAAGGAAGCTGTTATAAGCAAGGCTTAGACCCTGGAGATGCTGCAGTCTAAAAAGACTACTGTTTGGTTTTAACCGGCCATGAAGACAGCTGCAGCTAAGGTCTAGCCCGATCACCTTGTCTGACTTGGTATCGCATGTTACACCCTTCCAGTTGCAATAGTCGCTCTTGTTTGCCCATGATTTCGTCTTTGGATCAAGAAACCCACACGGCTTTTGAATCTTAAACTCGTTCTTGAACTCCAAAAGAATATCACTTTGGCCAGGAGAAGAAGCAAAAGTGCTAAAAATACTTGAAATTGAATAGAGAAGAACAATGGTACGAAGAAAAATGTTCATCATCATTGATGAGTTTGAACTCTTCGTTACAAGCTCAGTGGATGTATTTAACGTGTTACTCAACAGCTCTAAGAAAATATTCAATTCAAACTTTCGTTATTATTTTCCACAACTTTTGGAAATCACACACATAATATGGCTTTATCGTCACGGCAGTACCACCACCGGGTCCACCACTCACCACACATAATATGACTTTATCGTCACGGCAGCACGACTCCTGCATTAGTTGAAAGCAATAAACTGATTCTCAAAGACCTATTAAATGGCAAATTTAGCCTTTGTCGATGGATGTGTCTACATAGGACATATTACCTAAAAAACTTAAGATGAATCACATAAATATGATATCAATTTTCAAATTTAACTTTAAAGGATAAACATTTGTATAAATATCTTAAGTTTGTGATGAAAAAAATAAATTAGCTATCTTCCCATAAAGTCACTAATCTATACTATTATTTGCGAAGTGATTTTTCGCAATAGAGCTTTCACGTTAAAAGTTGGAGTGGTTAATATCGATTAGACCTTTAATGAATCAATTATATAAATCAGCTAAAAATAAAAACGAATTTAATACTTATTTGATTGGATAAATGATTTAAATTAATAATTACTATTATTTGCGAAGAGATTTTTCGCAATGGAGCTTTCACGTTAAAAGTTGGAGTGGTTAATATCGATTATACCTTTAATGAATCAATTATATAAATCAGCTAAAAATAAAAACGAATTTAATACTTATTTGATTGGATAAATGATTTAAATTAGTAATTACTATTATTTGCGAAGTGATTTTTCGCAATGGAGCTTTCACGTTAAAAGTTGGAG